GGTGGTGTGGATGGTGCAGTGGTTGATGGTGGAGTGATTGAAGTTGTTGGTGGTGTTGATGGTGGAGTGGTTGACGTTGAAATGGTTGATGGGGTTGTGCTGGAAGTGGTTGATGGAGTTGTAATGGGTGTGGTGGTTGGGGATGTTGGTGGAGTGATTGATGGAGTTGTGCTGGAAGTTGTTGATGAAGTTTTGCTGGGTGTGTTGGTTGGTGGTGTTGGTGCCGTGCTTGAAGTTGTTGGCGGTGTTGATGGTGCAGTCGTTGATTGTGGAGTGATTGAAGTTGTTGGAGGCGTTGATGGTGGAGTGGTTGACGTTGGAATGGTTGATGGGGTTGTGCTGGAAGTGGTTGATTGAGTTGTGCTGGGTGCGGTGGTTGGGGATGTTGGTGGAGTGATTGAAGTTGTTGGTGGTGGAGTGTTTGATGGAGTTGTGCTGGAAGTGGTTGATGAAGTTGTGCTGGGTGTGGTGGTTGGTGGTGTTGGTGCCGTGCTTGAAGTTGTTGGTGATGTTGATGGTGGAGTGGTTGATGGTGAAGTGGTTGATGAGGTTGTGCTGGGTCTGGTGGTTGGTGGTGTTGATGAAGTGCTTGAAGTGCTTGGTGGTGTTGATGCTGTAGTGGTTGCTGATGGAGTGATTGAAGTTGTTGGTGGTGTTGATGGTGGAGTGGTTGACGTTGAAATGGTTGTTGGAGTTGTGCTGGAAGTGGTTGATGGAGTTGTAATGGGTGTGGTGGTTGGGGATGTTGGTGGAGTGATTGTGGTTGTTGATGGTGGAGTGGTTGATGGAGTTGTGCTGGAAGTGGTTGATGGATTTGTGCTGGGTGTGGTGGTTGGGGATGTTGGTGGTGTTGGTGAAGTGATTGAAGTTGTTGGTGGTGTTGATGGTGGAGTGGTTGAGGGTGGATGGGTTGATGGAGTTTTGCTGGTTGTGGTGGTTGGTGAAGTGCTTAAAGTTGTTGGTGGTGTGGATGGTGCAGTGGTTGATGGTGGAGTGATTGCAGTTGTTGGAGTTGTTGATGCTGGAGTGGTTGCTGATGGAGTGATTGAAGTTGTTGGTGGTGTTGATGGTGGAGTGGTTGACGTTAAAATGGTTGATGGGATTGTGCTTGAAGTTGGTCGAGTTGTGCTTGGTGCGGTGGTTGGGGATGTTGGTGGAGTGATTGAAGTTGTTGGTGGTGGAGTGGTTGATGGTGGAGTGGTTGATGGAGTTGTGTTGGGTGTTGATGGTGAATTGGTTGATGGGGTTATTTTGGGTGTGGTGGTTGGTGCTGTCCCTATCGTTGTGCATATATCTTTACAGCACAGGACCTTGATATGGTAGTCGTAGCACATGTCATCAAAGCCTCCGCTATTGAGGCAGATGAAGCCCAGGTCCTTGTCGCAGATCACGTTGGTGTTCAGGTCGGTTATTGGCGCGCCCGGGAAACTCACTGCCTCACAGCTGATATTGATGGGGTGATCGCAGACCCAGCCGATTTTTTCCGAGATGTGAGCGTATGTCTCATTGTCTCCAACGCCATCTTTTCTTGGGTAGTCAGTGTTTATCCAATCTGTCCACTCACATTCGCACACAGGGCTGGAGCTGGTGGTTGCTACAGGAGTCTGAGTTGAGGACAGCTGGGACGACCCTGTTTCGGTTGTAGTGATCGTTGACGATGGTGATGGTGGTGTTGTCCTGGGAGTGGTTGAGGTTGTTGTTCGTGGGGTACTTGAGGTTGTTGGTGGTGTTGATGGAGGAGTGGTTGAGGGTGGATGGGTTGATGGTGTTGTGCTGGAAGTTGTTGATTGAGTTGTGCTGGGTGTGGTGGTTGGGGATGTTGGTGAAGTGATTGAAGTTGTTGGTGATGTTGATGGTGGAGTGGTTGAGGATGGATGGGTTGATGGAGTTGTGCTGGGTGTGGTGGTTGGTGATGTTGGTGGAGTGATTGAGGTTGTTGGTGGTGGAGTGGTTGATGGAGTTGTGTTGGGTGTTGATGGTGAATTGGTTGATGGGGTTATTTTGGGTGTGGTGGTTGGTGGTGTCCCTATCGTTGTGCATATATCTTTACAGCACAGGACCTTGATATGGTAGTCGTAGCACATGTCATCAAAGCCTCCACTATGGAGGCAGATGAAGCCCAGGTCCTTGTCGCAGATCACGTTGGTGTTCAGGTCGGTTATTGGCGCGCCCGGGAAACTCACTGCCTCACAGCTGATATTGATGGGGTGATCGCAGACCCAGCCGATTTTTTCCGAGATGTGAGCGTATGTCTCATTGTCTCCAACGCCATCTTTTCTTGGGTAGTCAGTGTTTATCCAATCTGTCCACTCACATTCGCACACAGGGCTGGAGCTGGTGGTTGCTACAGGAGTCTGAGTTGAGGACAGCTGGGACGACCCTGTTTCGGTTGTAGTGATCGTTGACGATGGTGATGGTGGTGTTGTCCTGGGAGTGGTTGAGGTTGTTGTTCGTGGGGTACTTGAGGTTGTTGGTGGTGTTGATGGAGGAGTGGTTGAGGGTGGATGGGTTGATGGTGTTGTGCTGGAAGTTGTTGATGGAGTTGTGCTGGGTGTGGTGGTTGGGGATGTTGGTGAAGTGATTGAAGTTGTTGGTGGTGTTGATGGTGGAGTGGTTGAGGGTGGATGGGTTGATGGAGTTGTGCTAGGTGTGGTGGTTGGTGATGTTGTTGGAGTGATTGAGGTTGTTGGTGGTGGAGTGGTTGATGGAGTTGTGTTGGGTGTTGATGGTGAATTGGTTGATGGGGTTATTTTGGGTGTGGTGGTAGGTGCTGTCCCTATCGTTGTGCATATATCTTTACAGCACAGGACCTTGATATGGTAGTCGTAGCACATGTCATCAAAGCCTCCGCTATTGAGGCAGATGAAGCCCAGGTCCTTGTCGCAGATCACGTTGGTGTTCAGGTCGGTTATTGGCGCGCCCGGGAAACTCACTGCCTCACAGCTGATATTGATGGGGTGATCGCAGACCCAGCCGATTTTTTCCGAGATGTGAGCGTATGTCTCATTGTCTCCAACGCCATCTTTTCTTGGGTAGTCAGTGTTTATCCAATCTGTCCACTCACATTCGCACACAGGGCTGGAGCTGGTGGTTGCTACAGGAGTCTGAGTTGAGGACAGCTGGGACGACCCTGTTTCGGTTGTAGTGATCGTTGACGATGGTGATGGTGGTGTTGTCCTGGGAGTGGTTGAGGTTGTTGTTCGTGGGGTACTTGAGGTTGTTGGTGGTGTTGATGGAGGAGTGGTTGAGGGTGGATGGGTTGATGGTGTTGTGCTGGAAGTTGTTGATGGAGTTGTGCTGGGTGTGGTGGTTGGGGATGTTGGTGAAGTGATTGAAGTTGTTGGTGGTGTTGATGGTGGAGTGGTTGAGGGAGGATGGGTTGATGGAGTTGTGCTGGGTGTGGTGGTTGGTGATGTTGTTGGAGTGATTGAGGTTGTTGGTGGTGGAGTGGTTGATGGAGTTGTGTTGGGTGTTGATGGTGAATTGGTTGATGGGGTTATTTTGGGTGTGGTGGTAGGTGCTGTCCCTATCGTTGTGCATATATCTTTACAGCACAGGACCTTGATATGGTAGTCGTAGCACATGTCATCAAAGCCTCCACTATGGAGGCAGATGAAGCCCAGGTCCTTGTCGCAGATCACGTTGGTGTTCAGGTCGGTTATCGGCGCGCCCGGGAAACTCACTGCCTCACAGCTGATATTGATGGGGTGATCGCAGACCCAGCCGATTTTTTCCGAGATGTGAGCGTATGTCTCATTGTCTCCAACGCCATCTTTTCTTGGGTAGTCAGTGTTTATCCAATCTGTCCACTCACATTCGCACACAGGGCTGGAGCTGGTGGTTGCTACAGGAGTCTGAGTTGAGGACAGCTGGGACGACCCTGTTTCGGTTGTAGTGATCGTTGACGATGGTGATGGTGGTGTTGTCCTGGGAGTGGTTGAGGTTGTTGTTCGTGGGGTACTTGAGGTTGTTGGTGGTGTTGATGGAGGAGTGGTTGAGGGTGGATGGGTTGATGGTGTTGTGCTGGAAGTTGTTGATGGAGTTGTGCTGGGTGTGGTGGTTGGGGATGTTGGTGAAGTGATTGAAGTTGTTGGTGGTGTTGATGGTGGAGTGGTTGAGGGTGGATGGGTTGATGGAGTTGTGCTGGGTGTGGTGGTTGGTGATGTTGTTGGAGTGATTGAGGTTGTTGGTGGTGGAGTGGTTGATGGAGTTGTGTTGGGTGTTGATGGTGAATTGGTTGATGGGGTTATTTTGGGTGTGGTGGTAGGTGCTGTCCCTATCGTTGTGCATATATCTTTACAGCACAGGACCTTGATATGGTAGTCGTAGCACATGTCATCAAAGCCTCCACTATGGAGGCAGATGAAGCCCAGGTCCTTGTCGCAGATCACGTTGGTGTTCAGGTCGGTTATCGGCGCGCCCGGGAAACTCACTGCCTCACAGCTGATATTGATGGGGTGATCGCAGACCCAGCCGATTTTTTCCGAGATGTGAGCGTATGTCTCATTGTCTCCAACGCCATCTTTTCTTGGGTAGTCAGTGTTTATCCAATCTGTCCACTCACATTCGCACACAGGGCTGGAGCTGGTGGTTGCTACAGGAGTCTGAGTTGAGGACAGCTGGGACGACTCTGTTTGGGTTGTTGTGCCTGTCGCTGTGGTTGTTGTTGCGGAGGCTGCTGTGGTGGGGCTCGTTGAGGCTGCTGTGGTGGGGCTCGTTGAGGCTGCTGTGGTGGGGCTCGTTGAGGCTGCTGTGGTGGGCCTCGTTGAGGCTGCTGTGGTGGGGCTCGTTGAGGCTGCTGTGGTGGGGCTCGTTGAGGCTGCTGTGGTGGGGCTCGTTGAGGCTGCTGTGGTGGGGCTCGTTGAGGCTGTCGTCGCGGTGGTTTGACCAGTTTGTCCGGATGTCACCGTAACCACGGTTGCTGTTGTAGCAGAGACCACCGCAGTGTTAGGCATAACTCACAAACGAATGGAAGCATCAGTAACTCAAGAGGCAAGGGATCTCATCTAAGTCCACATTTGTCTAAGTTTCCTGGCCACCTGAAGGCAATCTGTTGACATTTAATCACATTGTGTAATTTTATATATTTGCCTTAATTTCCTTCCAGATATTATTTAGTATTCCTTGTGCTTTTTTCATAAGCAAACCGCCATTAGTAACTTAGCCTAATTAATCTATTTAAATTATATTATTTTTACTTTTCTGTTAGATTCATTAGCAGTAAAATATTTTGAAACATTCTGTGAACGTAAATTGACTCTATGAATTCCTGGTCGCCCTTGCCAAAGAAGCGATGATTCATGCGTCTCAAGCAGGTTGAAGTATATTGTAGTTAAATAGAGGAGACTCGTGGATACCGCATGTGAGCATGTCACGTTAGCCGTCGCTGGAGCGCTCGGGTGAGAGAAGTCAAGGTGGGGTCGAACTCGAGGTCCAGAGCTACGAGGATACAACTACAGATCGAGAGTTACAGGACTTGTGTAAGACAATTGGGCCAGGTGCAGGAACACTCACTGAATATGGTGCTTGTGGTTTGGCTGATAGTGACGACAGTGGGGCCGGTGGTGCTGGCGGTGCTGCCAACAGTAGGTGTGGTTGTGCTGCCACACGGTGTCACCACGCGGTAGGAGACGTTGCCATTTTCACCGCAGTACGCCTCGTAGCACACGCCCATGCCGTCGTCCACCACGTAGATGGTCTCGTTGTACTGGTACTCGGTCCCGTTCCAAATGCACGCGCACTCCGGAATGGGTGTGCACTCGACGCGCGACTCCGCCGTGCACACACTGCATGCGACGGAACACGATTAACACCTCCAAGGAGAAGGGACTGCGGTAAACCTCTAGAGAAAAGTGTCGTAAAGGGTTCTCTGTCGCAAAGTATTGCAGTCTATTCTGATGAGTGTGGCCAATACGTGGATCACAAGATATTTTTTGTTAATCTCAGCACAAATTAGAACAAACGGCAACACGAGCATATAAGGGGCCGTCCATAAATGACGTCACGCTATTTTGGACGATTTTTGACCCCCCCCCTTCGTCACACGACGTCAAATATGACGTCACAAAGCTCTGCCCCCCCCCCCCAAAAAGATATATATAAAACATGCTTAAAATCGCTTTAAACTATTGTCATTGTAGTGCGTATTTAATGTGGCGCTGCACTCTGATGTTGTAGGAGAAAACATTTATTAAAAAATCTATTTAATTAAGTAGAACGTGTTGTCTATATTTATTTAAAGTTGCGCATTTTTACGTGATGTCACATTTCTTAAACCACCCCTCCCCCCCTTCGTCACACATCGTCACAAATGTCTGACCCCCCTCCCCCCTAGATGCGTGACGTCATTTATGGACGGCCCCTAATAGTGGCATGCAGAGTGCTAGATCACAATTGACTTGGGGTAAATGGGTGGTATTTTAGGCCCCCGGCAGTACTTTAGGCCTTGTTGGTGACAAGTGAGGTCAAGCCTTCGCATCGGGCCTAGTTGGCAGCACACATGATTGAGCCTCAGACGGGCCTAATTAATCACACACATGGATGAGCCTGAGTTGGGCCTAGCTGTCCGTGCAACATAGCATAGCCTGATTTGGACCGAGTGATGCATAACGGTGTTTTATTTTGGTTATGTTTGAATGCTTAGTTAATATAGCAGTCGCACATGCAAAGCTAATCTAAGTGATGGTAATGCTGCAGAAAGTTAAAGTGATTAATGTTAGTATCCCACAAATGAAGCAGTTAATTCATTATAGCGATGCATGGGTAATGTACAGCGTTATAATGCATACTAATAATTAATCCGTGATTAGTAGTTATATAGAAAAAAGGAGCTGCCCTCATTAAAAATACACACTTGGTCTTGATAGGGTTAAATCCAGATTATTGTCGGTAATATTTTCTTGTGTATCGTGGAGTCCATTGAGATCCACCAAAATAGATCAGAGCGCTCGATGTATTGGCAGTCACTGCCTGAGATGCTCAACGAATGTTTAGCGAGGGCACTGTCATCTGGTGAGGTCACGCACTGGTGGTGTGGGAATCGGGGCGGTGCTCACCAGTGTTCGCAGGGATTAGACGATGGCACGGTCTCGCTCGTGTTGTAGTGGATGCTCGGGTCGTCAGAGTCATAGCAGCCGCAGTATTCCAGCGCCACGCACTTCATGCTGTTCTCCTCTAGGAAAGGGAACTCAGGGGGGCACGTGGGAAAGCAGCCTGGGCGCGGGGAGAACACAGGAGGCACAGGGGGTGGAAGTCAGCACCGTGTGGCCTCGGACACTTCAACACTGTCGATTTGCTAACGACGGCGTGTTGGAATTGCCACGGCGTGTGGAGAAGAAACTCCGTCTCATTGTTTGAGAGGGACTGTAAACAGCTCCTCCTCATCCTCGCCACGGGGCCCTGGATCGCCCCAGCGTGTGTAACCCTTACCCTCAATGGAGGGGAGGTGGGTGGAGCAGTTCTGCTCTGGGTAGCGGCAGCTCTGGATGCACGGCTTCTTGCACGGCTCGAAGTGCCACTCGCACTCGTGGCCCGGCTCGTTGTAGTAGTCACAGAATGCCGCTGTGGGGGAACGCGCACGCGGTCACACACGCGGTCACACACGCATACATACGGGGACCTGGGTTCACGCTCGCTACTAGGACATTATCATCATCCACTGTGTAATGCACCATTCACAATATCGGTCTCAATGCCCTGTAGTGTGGAACTCTCAACCTAGTGGGATAAGCGAGTGTGTCTGCAGGTAGAGCTTTAAATCTGCACTCAAGACCCAGCTCTCGATCTTGCTCTTTCTGATTTTTGATTCCTACTGGCTGTGCGGATATAATTGATGTATCACTAGATTACATTTTTATTCTTTGTATACATGCACATTGATCATCTCGCGGACTTGTTTTAGACACGAATGTTGGTTGACCGAGTGAATGCGCAATCACCAGGAACACATTCACAGTTGAATCATAAACAAGTGACCTCCACACGTTATACCATGGTTACAGCGCTGGTCAGTGCGGGTTGGTGCAGTGGGAGAAGGGGGGCAGGACTCGGTCATGTTATAACTTACCGCTAACGGTAGCCATGGTCAGGAATCGACCTCAGCTCGTAAGGCTCCTGGTGCTATGCGCTAACCGCCGCACCGCTATTTCTTCTACTTTCGGTCCCGATTAAGAACAAGTAACAACCATCGATCCGTTTAAGGACAAGTAACAACCATCGATCCGTTTAAGGACAAGTAACAACCATCGATCCAGCCTCCCGCTTCGCTCGTCGTGCAGGAACCACGGTCCGCGGGACTCACGGCAGATGACCGGGGACCTCCAGGTGATGCACTCGCCGGCGTCGCGGCAGGCCTGCGCGTAGGCCGACATGGCCGTGCAGAAGCAGGCGCAGTCGCCGCCCATGTCGCAGCCGCACGAGTCACGCACGCACGCTTCGTAGTACGGCAGGGGGTCGACCTGCAGCACACAGTCCCGCGTCGGTCTGCTGCTCAACGTCGCACAGCAGCTCGGTGCAGTTGGGAGAGCACTGCTGCTCAATGTCACACTGCCTACTGCGATCTATCATGGGTTGATGTTCTGGATGAGCAATCGACCGCTTGATTGAAGTCAACAATTTCACTCAACCGCTTCATTCCACTTTCCTAACCACCACCGTAAGAGCAGCCTTCAACAACATGCATGCCAAAATACTGCCATATCAGCGTGCCAAAATACTGCCATATCAGCGTGCCAAAATACTGCCATATGAGCGTGCCAAATTGACTGTAACCACACATTGGTCTATTCAGCCTTATCCATCGCATTCACACTCACTTCTGCTGCTGTATCTTCTCCGAATTCTAAACAGATTCTGTTTAAGGCCAGCCTATCTTTAATCTCAGAGAGGATAAGGCTACTCTGATTTGAACTCGATACTTTAGACAGGACTCTCCTACAAGCTCATTTAATGTTAACACAAAAAATGTCACCTTCTGATTGGAATCACGTAGACAACATGACTGCTTCTTCTGCTGATTCACTGTCAGTCAAATGTAAAGCTAACCTGATTTCTAAATTCAACCACCTATTAAAGAAGAACCCAGTTGCACGTATAACAAAACTAGACGTCAACAAAATCGTCATTAATCAGAGTAGCACCCCGATTTCGGACAATCTGAAAACAGTACTGGCTAGGGGACTGAATTTTGCTGTCACCCCAAAACACATACCAGTAGATGATATCATCTCTCAGGTCGATGTAGCCCTCTAAGGCGTAGGACACATCCAAGCAGACGTTGGGAGAGCTGAAATAGCCACTATTCTTAAGAATGCTAAGAAACCCATTAGTAACATCAGCAAAAATGAACGCTCTGAACTCGCGAATTTAAAAAACAGAAGTGATATAGTCATCCTCTCAGCCGATAAAGGCAACACTACTATAATTATGGATACAGATTCATACAACAACAAAATCCAGAATCTGCTCAACAATGGAAGTTACTCAAAAATTAAAAATGACCCTACCAATAGCCTAGCGATAAAAACCAACAAGATCATCACACGTTCGACCTCCCTAATCGACCCAACTAAACGTCCCTCCCTAAAACCTTCTGCTGCAAGACCCCCTAGATTATATGGTCTTCCCAAGATTCATAAAGAAGGCACCCCACTACGACCCATCGTATCCACGATCAACTCCCATACCTATAGACTAGCCCGTTTTCTGTCAGATACCTTGCTGCCTTTCACTGGCAAGACCGCCTCAGCAGTACTTAACTCAGCCCAATTGGTCACTATGGTCAAAGACGTTGTACTGTCCCCTGACGATATCCTTGTCAGCTTCGATGTGGTCTCTTTGTTCACCAAGGTTCCAGTACCTGATACCATTGAAATAATTGAAAATTTGGTCCAACATGGACTAGACTCCGATACACCTGCACTGGTTAGGCACTGCCTCAACAATACCTACTTTACTTGGAATGGCTCCTTCTACAAACAAAATGAGGGTACCCCCATGGGATCCCCTTTGTCACCAGGGATAGCCAATATTTTCATGGAGAAATTTGAATCAGACGCCATCCAGACTTCCACCCTCTCAGACCTTCCCTGTGGAAGAGATATGTGGATGACACTTTCGTCATTTGGCCACATGGCCTCCCAGCTCTGAACCTTTTCCTACACCACATCAATTCCAGATATCTCGCCATCAAATTCACCATGGAAGTGGAGAAAGATAGCAAGCTACCATTCTTAGATGTTCTGTTTGAGAGGAGACCTGATGGCTCATTGGGGCATTCTGTCTACAGGAAACCCACCCACACAGATTCCTACTTGAAACCAGATTCCCACCACCACCCAGCCCAAAATAATTCTCTCATCAAAACTTTATACCATAGGGCTCATTGCATTTTGGACCACACCACCTGACCAGTGAATTAAAACATGTACACCTGGCCCTCAAAAGGAATGGATACTCTGACCGTACCATCCGCCAAGCTGTTTCTCCCTCCATACAGAAACAACCACTTGATACTCCGGTCAAAACCATCACACTACCATATATAGCAGGCGTTACTAAAAAGATTTCCAAAATTCTAAACAAACACAAGATCCAGGTCCGGTTCAATACAGTACACAAAATTCGTGATCTGATCCCATCCGTGAAGGATGTCATTCCTGACTTACAGTACCTCGGGGTTTACAAATTGAGTTGTACCTGCGGTGATTGCTATATCGGGGAGACAAAGCGACATGTCTCTGACCAAATTCGCGAGCACAAATCAGATTTGAAACACGGCAGAACGAATTCTTCTGCCGTAGCTGATCACTGTTACAACGCTGTGGGTGATCACGATATAATTTTCTCCGATACCAAGGTTCTTTGCAAACCCACGGGTTTTTATCAGAGATTTGTTCACGAGGCAATTCAGATCTACAAACACAGACACAATTTCAACCGAGAAGATAGTTTCAAATTAAGCAACCATTGGAAAGATGTTCTAAATCGAACCAAACATTAAACTAATTTCAATGGTGCAGTATATTTTTCAAGTAGTGGTACCCCAAACTTTCGCAGCTCTTAAAAATGCCCTTTTCACACCATCAATAGGTAAACTCCCCCTCCCCCCCCGCGCCAACCGGCATGTTCACCCGCATGTACACCACCTCTACACCGTTCATCATTCTAAGTCGGCCAATCAAATGCTAATTTTTATGCTAATTCCTTTGTCAAGGCACCTTGTTTCCTCGCACACAGCTTAAAGGTCGCGGTCTGAGCGTGGCTGTGTTTCACTCCAGCGCTGTTCTCGAGACAGCCTGGTCCCTTCACCTGATGAAGGCCACTTGTGTTGTGGCAGAAACGTCGTGATTTTTGTTGTTTTATTTTTTACCTACGTGACTTTACCGAATAGAACCAAAGAGTATTATCCAAGGCAATTTAACTTGCTGTGGTTTTTCTTGTGTATATATGCAAAAGTGTACCGTAACTTATTTGTAGTGAAGATCTAAGGCATTCTAGTATACCTTTCAGGCTTCCATCCTCCACGGAGTAGTCATGAAGCGATTATATATTCACTTACACCAAGCAGCGGCAATAGTTGGGATAATAATTCCGCTCGTAGCCATGAGGCCAATGACCAGCTGGCACACGTCTGTATGTCGAACCTCTTTGGCAATGTACATAGCTAACCGTGCTCCTCGTATTCACGGTGAATGGTTGCCTTCGCTTAAGCCCGTTAACATTATGGGCCCACCTTGGCACGCAAAGGGGTCCTTGCCAGCTTCCGGGCTGACACAGCCGGCCATCAGAGCACTGCTGTTGGAGGCCTTGCAAGAGGCCGAAGGAGGCAAGCGATAATTCCGCAGGCAGAGGGTGCCGAGAGACGAACGATCGAGAAGTCGCACCTTGGCGTGGCAGCCCTTGAACGCATCTCCCTTTACGCGCGAGCACTCCCGCTCGGCCCACGCCTTGCGGTACGGGTTCATGTAGCACGGGTCGGCGTTGGCGGTGGTCTTCGCGCACGCGAGGGACGAGACCTGCCAGGAGTTCCCGAACTCCACGGGGCTCGCCACCACCACCTGGCCTCGCACCGTGAAGTCGTTGGCGGAGTCTCCGTCCATGTCTCCGCACAGCCCGCACAGCCGGCCCTGCGTCGAGAAGTGGGCAGATAGGGGGTAGAGGGAGCGAGGGAAAGAGAGTGGAGAGGCAGGGAAAGAGTGGCGAACAAGTGGGGAGAGGCATGGGGAGTGGTAGGGAGAGATGTAGAGAGAAGGGAGAGAGTAATGGAGAGCAGGGAGAGAGACGGAGGAGTGTGGGGAGAGGGGGTAGAAGAGGCTGTGAGTGAGAAATCTATAGACTCAAGTAGTTTAAAGCAAATGAGGTTCTGGCAGTCATGCTTAGCCATCATCAGTGCAGCGCGGGTCGTAAGAGTTGGTAATCTCTTTTAAGGCCGATTACCAATGCTGATCGCCCCCCGGTGAAGAGGAGGAGGCTTCCGTCCCCTATGTGCCTGCACCTCGTGGGCGAGAGAGGCGACGTCGTACCTGGCTGTCGGAGGAGACCATGAGGCGCACGCTGTTGCCCCCGTCCCACTGCAGCAGCAGCCCGTTGGCGGCCTCCACGATGTGGGTGCCCCCCAGCTTCCGCATCCTGTACGGGATGTGGGTGCCCGCCCCGCTCGTCACGGAGCTGATGCTGTGATCGCCATCGGCAAAGCGGATCTCCACATCCTGGGACACACGACAGCGAACACCACCACCACGTAAACTCCACCTGCGACGCAAGTGAGTGCAGGTGAATATAGGAGAGGGCAGGTGAGTGGTGGTGATTAGATTATTTGGCTGCTATAAATTTCCACATGATAAGCCACTTCGTTGAGCTATCATTTATGGCCAGGTCGCTTCTGAAAAATAAGCCATGAGCTGAGTGGGCTTTACCTGGTAAAATAAAAAATAGTGTTTCTCAAAAAATTGTTTATTTCACTTTTTTGTGTGATTTGCTAACTTTTCCTATACTTTGCACTCCTATCATGTTTTTACATTGTTGTAACCTTTAGTCCTGTCCCTAGTGGACATCTGTGAACAATAGTTTTACGGTTCATCGGATTTCTCCAGTATAAATATAGATTCTGAGGTGAACATAGGAAAGTGCAGGTGAATGCTGTAGATGATTTCAGGCGAGTGGATGTGAGTGTAGGAGACTAGTCAAGGTGAGGTGAACGCAGATGAATATAGGAGCCCAAGTGAGTGGTGGTGGGCGCAGGTGAGTGATGGTGAGTGGTGGTGGGCGCAGGTGAGTGGTGGTGAGTGGTGGTGGGCGCAGGTGAGTGGTGGTGGGCGCAGGTGAGTGGTGGTGGGTGCAGGTGAGTGGTGGGCGCAGGTGAGTGGTGGTGGGCACAGGTGAGTGGTGGTGAGTGGTGGTGAGTGGTGGTGAGCGCAGGTGAGTGGTGGTGGGCGCAGGTGAGTGGTGGTGGGCGCAGGTGAGTGGTGGTGAGTGGTGGTAAGGTGCTGCACCCCGAGCAGGAGCTTGATGCTCTTGGAGCAGGCCACGCCCGAGGTTCCACACGCCATGTTCTCTGTGATGACGCGGAAGCTTCCGCCCGCAGGGTTGGATGGACAGAAGTCCTGCGGGAGCAGAAACCGGCACGACACCGTGGCGCGTAGCTTGCCGCACAGCTTCACGAGCACAGAGCAAGAGGGGGGGGGGCGGCCAGGGAGAGGGGGGGGGGGGTGGCCAGGGAGGGGGGGGTGGCCAGGGAGAGGGGGGGTGGCCAGGGAGAGGGGGGGTGGCCAGGGAGGGGGGGGGGGTGGCCAGGGAGAGGGGGGGTTGCCAGGGAGGGGGGGGGTGGCCAGGGAGAGGGGGGTGGCCAGGGAGAGGGGGGGCAGGGAGAGGGGGGGGTGGCCAGGGAGAGGGGGGGTGGCCAGGGAGGGGGGGGTGGCCAGGGAGAGGGGGGTGGCCAGGGAGAGGGGGGGTGGCCAGGGAGAGGGGGGGTGGCCAGGGAGAGGGGGGGTGGCCAGGGAGGGGGGGGTGGCCAGGGAGAGGGGGGTGGCCAGGGAGAGGGGGGGTGGCCAGGGAGAGGGGGGGTGGCCAGGGAGAGGGGGGGTGGCCAGGGAGAGGGGGGGTGGCCAGGGAGGGGGGGGGTGGCCAGGGAGAGGGGGGGTGGCCAGGGAGAGGGGGGGCAGGGAGAGGGGGGGTGGCCAGGGAGAGGGGGGGGCAGGGAGAGGGGGGGCAGGGAGAGGGGGGGGCAGGGAGGGGGGGGGCCTCACCTGCGAGAGGATGTACTCGCACTTCCCGTCGAACAGGAAGCGCCGCCCGTCGTAGGTGGTGTAGTGTCCGTCCCCGTAGAAGGAGCACAGCCCCATGCAGTCGTAGTCCGTGCAGCTCCAGCGAGCACCCTCACACGTGCTGCACGCGCAAGCGCAGACGCGTCCGCTCAGGGTCCGCACAGCGGGTAACCCGTCGTAGTCTTACATGCATCGACCTCGGTAAAGCCTCAAATTGGGATATCAATGGTGTAGAAGGAAAGCATTGAGATTAGGGGCAGGGGGGCGGGGTGTGGGAGGGATTAGGGTTGGGGGATCGGGGTAAGCACGGAACACCGGCCGCTCACCACGTGTTGCAGTCGACGGCCACTCTGTCGCCCGGGCTGTAGCTCTGGCCGTTGTGCTGGCACGGGCACTCGTCAGGGCGCACGCACCCGTCGGCGCTGTCCAGCACAGTGCCCTCGGGGCACATGCAGCCCGACACGCAGCCGGGCGTGTACTGCACACAAACACAAAGATCCCCCGTGTAGCCTTTAACAGACCGTTGGGGCAAGTGGTGTTAGCGAGCACCTACGAAGGGCGGTATGGTACACAAGGGGGTGGCGTGGTTAGCACCACGTCCGGCTGCCATTGCTGATGTTTACACACTGCACCGGGTACTATTTTTTGAGGCTGGGTCGACCTAGAGGAGGCCCAGGACCGGTTCAGATAATCGTCACTGCCGTGAGCGAGAATCGAATTCAGGTTTCTTTGTCCATAGCGCAGCGCGCCAATCACTCCACTGCAGCTCCTCACACGTGTTCACGTCACGTCCACGCCAGCGTTTGCTGTATTAGCCGGGGGCAGAGCCACTCGTCCACTTAGACCCATCGAGCCGAATGCTGGTCTCGTGCCTGGAGCCCTGCCTGTAACCGTGCAACGGGGATCTCTTCTACCTTGGTGGCAGTGCAGTGGCTGCGCTGTCGGTGGGCGTGTGCGCGTGTGCCACTCACGCATTCAATGTGGGGGTTTTGGCACGTCCGCTCGCAAGCCAGCCCCTGCACCCCGGGTCCAGCAGTCTGGCAGTCGACGAACACCCGTGGGGCGAGGCACTCTGTGTACACAAAGACATGTACACACACAGGGGCTCACAAAGGGACACATTGTAAAGCGTGCTTTATGCTATTCTTGCGTTTGATCGCAAGATGTTCAGGAGCTCGATGCCAGTGTCGGAGTCTGCTGCTGCTGGCCATAACGAGAGGGCTTCAGGAGAGAGACATTTCGTGTCATTTTGCCATTCCTCCTTCTCCGTTGAAGGAGCGCCACTGTGGGTTCATTGTTTGTTGCATGGCCATTCTGGCTGTGTCTTTGTTTTTACATTCATGAAGGAGATGTGTGCATTGGCCTGTTGATGATGTTCTGATTGTTCCGGCGTCTTCGAGGAGGAATGTCAAAGCCACGGGGGAGGTGCATTGTTTGGGTCGAAGTCGCTCTGAGAAGTAAGCACGTGTGAGCCCCCGTGTGAGCGCGTGTGTACCCGCGTGTGTACCCGCGTGTGAGCCCGCGTGTGACCGTATGTGCACGTGTGTGTGCACGTGTGTGTGCACGTGTGCGAGGCCGCGTGTGTGCACGCGTGTGAGCCCGTGTGTGAGCCCGCGTGTGTGCACGCGTGTGTGCCCGCGTGTGACCGCGTGTGTGCACGCGTGTGTGCACGCGTGTGTGCCCGTGTGTGACCGCGTGTGCCCGTGTGCCCGTGTGTGCCTGAGGTTTACCAGCCACTGTGTCGGACTTGCACTGGATCACGCCATGTCTGCACACACTGGGAGGAGAGGAACAGCGTGCACACAACAGTTGAGTAAGCGCACACACGCAACGACAAGCAGCTCCACACGGAAGCCCTGTTCCGCGACCCCTGTTTTCACCGTCATGACACGCGTTTACCCAAGAGAGCCTCATTGAGTCTCTGCACTATTTCAGCTTCGTCTAGCCAAGGATTTGTTGGAGGGGGCGATTGTGTAACGGAGTAAGTTATCTTCTTGGTTATGGCAAGTTTGGACCGTGACACCGGCACACAGTGGCCTTCTCTTGCAAATTACATGAAGGGATCTTTAGCGGAGTAATTTTGCGGTTAATACAGCGCAGCATTAATCGGGGTGGCCGCTGGACTCGAACCGCGAAGATCTGCAACAAGCGGTGAACGGGCGACCGCTGGGCCGCGTCACTGCCCCTGTCCCGTGAACCCCCGAGCTCCCAAGCATCTCAACTATGCTGGAGCGCGCACGTCCAACGGCACAACATCCACCATTTCTGTAGCGCCTCTACTGCTGAGACCCTCATTGACGGATTCATCAAATCCTGACTTAAATCTTACACCTCTCCCTGACAGCCTCTTCACATCCCTCGTCTCTACACTGCAGGTGATCCAAACTGGTGTTGCCGTCGTCTCTCCGGCACCCATGAATGTGACGGCCTCACCCCGATGCTCCGATCTCTCCACCGACTCCCAATCCCAGATCAACTTCAAGCTCGCACTCGGCGTCTTCAAGATTCCGCATTGACTCGCTCCTGCCTACCTCACCCCTCTCATCTCACTCTACTACTCCCCTTAATGCACACTCGGCTCCAGTAACCAAGGCTTTACAGGGAAGCCCCCAGTTAATATTCGACGAATGCGAGGTTGCTCATTCTCTTGTCCCCTTCCCCCAGCCACCCGTACTGTCGACTCCCTGCCCCGGTTCAAGTCCAGAAGGAAGCCTTTCCTCTTTTACTTCACCCATGACCGACTGCCTCTCTCTGTAAAACAAATAGCCCAGCCGTCTCCCTACAGCGTCTTGCGATCGCACCGCGCCCTTGCCCTGCCGCACTCTCTCACACTCACCACTGCGCGCCGTTGCGCGTGATGGTCATGCCCGGAGCGATGACCTGCCCGTTGATGTAGCAGGGGCAGAGCGAGGGCCCGTCCACGCAGGTGCCCTCCTGCGTGCGGTAGCCGTCGCACACGCAACCCTCCACGGGCGTGTCCGTCACCAGGCACGAGGTGTCGAACTGCGACAGCGACGTGCACGTGCTGTTGCAGGCGTAGGCGCCGTACTGAAACTCCTCTCCCTCGCCGCACTGCCGCGTCACCTCGGCTGAAGCGGAGGGGGACGTGGGGGGTGCGCGCTCGTGTGAACGCACGGCTGAGGTGGGGAGGCCTGTGCTGTGGAGATGAAGGCGGCCCGGCCGTGCTGCTGGCCACCCGCCCCCTCGTCGTGTGCAGTGCCCTGGCGCGGCGCCAATAGTCTAAGGCTATACGGGGGATCTTTGTGTGTGCGTGTCTCTGTGTAGGATGCAATTATGCAGATGTTTTCAAACGTAGATCTGTTTATGAAATCAAACCATGCGATAAACTACAGCACTCATCTCGCACTGTCTGAATCTCCCGCAGTGGAGCTGATGATGATGAGGCTATACGGGGGTTCTTTGTGTGTGTGTGTGTGTGTTGTACACGTGTGAGCGTGGTGCACACTCACTGCACACGCCCGCCTTCCCCCTCCACCCGATGAGCACGTGTCCGCGCGCCGCGCACTCGTGTGCGTACGCGCCCAGCGCGGCGCACACGCAGCGCCCCGGGCTCTCGCACTCGCACGTGTCGTGCCGGCACGTCTGTGAGAGGTGGCACACGTACGCACGCACACACACACATGCACGCACACACACACGTACGCACGCGCACACATACATGTACACACGCACACACATGTACACACGCACACACGTGTACACACGCACGCATGCACGCACATACGCACACATGCACGCAAACACACACAGGTCCGCACGCACGCGCACACACATACACGCTCACGCACAGGTACGCATACACGCACACACATGTACACACGCACGTGCACAGCGTTAGTAGTGCCGTGTCACCGCGCTTTCTCTTGGATCGTGCAGTCGTGACCCCTGCATGGCGCTGAGCCAGGCTAGGTCGCTCAGAGTTGACGAGGAGCAGTGGTGGCATCATGATAGGAGGTCATGGGTCAAACCCACCTTTTCCTAAACCGATTCTAACACCTTATGCCAAAGACTAATACGGCCGCAGTATTTTAATCTTTTGAGTCGATGGTCTTAAACAATGCTGTGTGCGTTGTACACGCAGTGCGGTTTAATGATTTGTTTACATCTCCCGTCATCGTCCATGCCAATTAAATCCCAAAATTGCTGAGAAATCAAAGACGAGCTGGAAAGCAGCCAGGTGGTGAGTAGGCGGCAACAATTACCCACACTCTTGAATCCTCTGTCGATTTAGATGCTTTCAGTGTGGGAGGAAGGCGGAGTACCTGGAGAAAACTCACACTTGCGAGGGGCCAACGCTCTACCCCATACAGACAGAAGGGACATATTTAATTCGCCCGCTGGCCATACCACCTTCCTCCTCGACGCCCACGGCAATGGAGTTCACAATATTCGTGCGAAGATCTACCAACCCTCACCGCTGCCGCCACAGTGCTGGCTACAGGCATGCGCCACCGTGGAGAAGGCATGCAACGTGCGAGGCACGATGGGAGGACTGAGATCACGGTCACAATCGTGCCCCTTGATGTTTGGAAGTCACCCCTTGCCGACGGTTCCTGGGCTGGAGCGACCATTCACACGGAGTCCTACGTCAATAACACATTCGCTGAAATGTAAGGGCGACCCACCTTGTAGAAATGGTTGGGGTTCACCACCCCATGGCACTTGGCGAAAGGGCCCTGGGGGTCCATGAGCTTGGAGCAGGTCTCCTCGGCGTACTGGGCTGGTGGGGGGGCGTGGAGGCGAGTCAGTGGTTTAAAGTTTGTATGCCAATTACTTACCCAACAATATGAACGGCAGCCGAGCTAATGTTTAACTGGAGCTGCGTGCCCGCAGGTATACCAACGTGGAGGTACAGAAACTTGGCGCGAAGCGACATGCGCGGCGGCCATCGTGAGCGGGGGGTTTCAAACGTTCGTGGCAACGCCGGCCGAACGGAGAGAGCAGCTCACGCAGCAGACACGACTGTGTGACAGATGCTGCACGGTGACCCACCATGCCACGTGCATTTCAACGCAAGCTATGGCAAGCAAGAGCGATTGAGCGCAGACCTAGAATTCCAATCCGCGATGTGGAGACAGATGTACGAATGTGATGTGTTGTCTGCTTATATTCTTATTTTATATTTATAGAGTGCCTTAGCTGATGGTGCTTTTCAAAGTTTATAAATAAGTAACAAAAACCAAGAGATTATAGATGGCAGGGGGCATGCAAGGGCCGAGGAATGAGTGGCACGTGGAATCACGGAAGGGTTATAGGGGACGTGGAGAGGCGATGGAAGAGGAAAGGAATGTGCAATGGAGAAGAGGTGAGGATTTGAGAGGGGAATGGAAGGAGGTTAAGGAGGGAGACTGCTCAATGTACAGGGGCAGTTGATTCCAGTGGAGAAGTGCAAGGAGGGAGAAGATCGAACATGGGATTTGGCACAGTGAAAAGGAGGGACAGAGTGAAGATTGGAAATGAAGAGGATGAGAGGAGGGGACATGGCAGGAGATGAGAGAGGCGAGATGAGGAGGGGCAAGGCCATGGAGATATTTAAAGACTCGTGAGGTATTTCAATAGCCAGCGTTGTAGTAAACGGGATGCCAGTGGAATTGACGGAGGAGAGGCAAAGTGTGAGAATTAAATGAGAGATTGAAAATAATCGTCTTGGTTCTTTCGGTAAAGTCACGTAGAATGAGAATAAAACATTCTACGTGACATTACCGAAAGAACCAAGAAGATGAATCCTTGCAGTCACGAAAGCTTTAAATAGAAATTGAAAATAATCTTAGCAGAAGCATTTTTTATTTGTTGGAGGGGGGTGAGAGCGTAAGCAGAGAGACCAAGAGCTAGATAATGGCATTCGTCCAGTTGGGTACGCTTGTATTCTCCGCAACAACGCTGTTAATGATAATCTTGCGTTACAATTGTGACCGGCGCCTCCACACGGTCCGCCCCGGCCACCGACCACTGGCGGTTGTCCTTGAGTAGCAATAAACCAGCCACCTTTTACACATGAAGATCATCAGGAAGTTGCGTCTACATTCACAGACGATGGAGGTGGCGTTGCGAAAGTTTAATTTACAATGCACACTTTATGCAAAGCATCCTTTGGTGCTTTACAACACTAATCATAACAACACAACTCAAAAAGCCATTGCTCAATCAATGGAGCTTGAAAACAAGCCAATTCAAGCAAATATGTTTATATGTTTGACGGGAAATTTCGGTCTGCTCTTTAACCAGGACATGACGTAAACCTACCCTGAAGCATGAACAGCATTCAGCATTGCTACGACTTGGGCTCGCATCAAAGACATTCTAAATGCACAATTTAGACTACATTTAACAACCTAACTATAAATGTGATTGTTGCACTATTGCTGTTGTGACTTGGAATCGAGTTGCAGGGAGCATAGCAACTGAAGTCCCTCTCCACGCACAGTCATCATTCATTGGTCTCACGCCGCCACCGTGGGCCACGCTCACTGGCACCGGTCAGCATCTCGCCCCACAGGCGACCGCGTGGAGGGGGTCATCCGAGCCCCTCGTGAGCGTTCCCCGAGGGACCCACCGGTGTGCGCGTTGATGGAGCACGGGTCCTGCAGCTCCTCGGCCGTGTCGGGGCAGCCCGTCTGCGCCTTCCACGAGTTGGCGAAGGGGGTGGAGGTGGCCTCCACGAGGCCGCATGACGTCTTCAGCTCGTCCGCCAGCACGTCGTTGTAGTTCCCGCAGAGTCCTGGCGCGGCGCGGACGCAGCGCGTGATGACGGTGCCGCGACCCCAGCGCAGAGACCGTGGCACCCAGGAGTCCTGATCCCAGACCCTGGAGCACTGTACCCCAGGACCCTTGTATCCCAGATGCTGGGAGCCTGTATCCCAGGACCCCTGATCCCTGACCCTGGAGACCTGTACCCCAGATCCCAAACCCTGGAGCCCTGTACCCCAGGACCTCAGATCTCAGACTCAGGAACCATGTATGCCTGATAAGAGAACTCCGTTAATGACGCCAAGCCCAGACCCTGGGACCATGGGATTTTGAACCGCGGACCCTGGACTCTCGTCCCTGAGAATCTAGGATTGACTGAAATGCAACGAACATTTCTCTTGGTGACTGAACGGATGGGAAAGTGCTGCCACCTACAGTGTGGACCAGGGGTCACTTGGGATCTCGGCGGGAGCTCTGCGTTATTTCCTTTCATGGGCTGTTCTCTAACTTAGAGGGTTATGCCACTCGGAGATTTCCGAATTGAATCTTTATCTACATGCCGCAACCGTCGATAGTGCGGTGGGGATGACAAAACGGTGTGTGCGCCGTGCAAGGGCCTCACCACAGGTGCGGTTCTTGTAGGCGACGGACACGCTCATGTAGAGCTGCATCTGGGGCTGCAGCTGCAGTTGGAGGTGCAGGCCGGAGCGGGTGGCCACCTGCACGAACATGGACGACTGGCGGAACACCTGCAGGCCGGCTGCGCACGCGGGGAGGACGGGAACACGCCTTCAGGTCGTTCCCTGCATGCCTCCGCAGAGTTATCGTAGAGTCGCGACGATAACCACGGTGATGGCACGGACGTGCTGAGATAAAATTTACAGCTGAGGTACGGTAAGGGCTTGGAACAAGGTGCGGTGGTTACCGGTGGAAAAAAAACGATTTGCTTTCCATTCGTCACACAGTGGAAACACGTGTCTGTACGGCCTTCACCAAGATTACGTTTGAGACTTTGTTCAAACTCTCGATGTCTGCCAAAGTGATAACGCACGACACCAATTTTTGTGCACGGACATACACAGCCGTGTTTGTCACGCCACTGTTTGTTACTCCACTGCTGTATGAGGGCCTCCCACCCCGTGTGGGGTTGTGGGGGTTATTTGACTATACTCTACCATGACGGTTAGGGTGTGTGGCATGTGGCGTGTGTGGTATGACGCACACATGGTGTGCGTGGTATGACACACACATGGTGTGCGTGGTATGACGCGTGTGGCACGTGTGGTATGACGCGTGTGGCACGTGTGATATGACGCGTGTGGCACGTGTGATATGACGCGTGTGGCACGTGTGATATGACGCCTGTGGCACGTGTGATATGACGCGTGTGGCACGTGTGATATGACGCGTGTGGCACGTGTGATATGCCGCGTGTGGCACGTGTGATATGACGCGTGTGGCATGTGTGTGTTGTGAGTTACACACACCATTGTTGCTGAAGGGAAGGTTGAGGATCATGGAGTTCATGAACACACGGCCATTCGACTCAAACTTCATGACCTGAGACGCGCGACACAAACACCGAGACGAGCCCAGGAGGTCACCACGGATTGATACGTGGGAAGCGCACGTGGGAAGCGAGCACATGTTCCCGTTCAGTCAGTCGTGATTCATCCTAAAATTCACAAAGCCACACTTAAAAATAACCACCGCGACTGAATACGTAAAGGCGTGCAACAGCCCTGTGAGAGATTAACTAGGAGTTACTGATTGAGTAGCAAGTGAACTCACCTCGCCGCCGTGCGTCAGCAGCAGGGACACGGAGGTGAGGCACGTGGCGCGGCTTGTGGAGGAGCACGGGCGCAGCTCGGCGAGGATCGTGAACTCGCGTCCTGCGCAGTCCTGATGCACAAGCACGGTACACACACACACATGATACACACATGCACGATACATGATACACACATGCACGATACAAGGCAACTGAGCGAACCAATAAACCAACCTGAGCAATGTCATAGACCCACAGTCACCGCCACCTCTGAGAGTACGCGCTGTGCATGAAGCCAACAAAACTTCTCACGGGCAGCCCCGGTGGTGAGGTCATACACAACGATCGGCGAGTTCAAGTGCAGGCTAAAAACATTCTCCAGCGCCCATCAGGGCCCGGTTTCTGCCGTCCGAGCTTCCCCTTCGACGACTTACGGCGGAGTAACAAAGTTCACGTCGACCAATCGACCTACGGAAGCTGGAACGGTGCACGAGGGCCCGTGTGGCCAGAACTACAGCCGGCCGCCATCGTCTCCCCCGTGCCGATGTGTACGCACCGCACAGAGTACTCATTACATGCTGAGCCGACCTGGGGGAGGCCCACAACCGGTTCGCATAATTGCAACTGACGTTGGCCGTGGCAGGGAACAGAACCTGGGTAAGTGCGCTAACCAATGCGCCTCAACACAGAGGTTTGTCGAGGTGGGATGAGGATTGTCAGATAACCATTTCTAGGGAATGTCCAGGGTGGAGCCCATAGAAGGGACACTTGTATTCTGTGATGGCCGCGTATTTTGTCTTCAAGCCAACGTGCGCTCGAGGCACCGTTCCTGCCGAGCGGGCAGCACGGCCGAGCGGGCAGCACGGCCGAGCGGGCAGCACGGCCGAGCGCAGCGGCGAGGTCGGCGCCGAGCCACAGCGCCGACCAGCGAGGCCCCTGCACTGCGAGTCGTGCCCGCTCACACGCGCGCCTGCCCGTGATGCCGAGCTTCCGATCGTGTTCTTTATTGCAGTCGCTCGTTGTGCAGCATCGTTTTACGATGGGCGTGCGTGTGTTTGCGAGAGTAGGCGATGATATGCCGCCAGCTATCCGATCGGTGTCGTAACTCTCGGACTTTGTCGCGAGGCATCGGGGACGCGGCCGCATTGGGGCGCGAGCGTGAGAAACGACGAAGGCCGCGACGGTCGCAGCCACGCGACAAACCCCGGCACGAGAGGAGATCAGCGAGCGCTGCGCGCCGCAGCCCCTCTCCGCCCAGTGGCGTGGCTGTCGGGGGTGCAGGCGGTGCCGCTGGGCCACTTGCCACCTGTCCTTGGGTTTCACCGCATTGCTGTTCTCTCTCCGGTATCGTGAGATAGTCTCTCCCCGACTCATCCAGGTGTGTTTATTATACCTGGTCGATGGCAATGCCCGCAACTGCAGCGGGGCGCATGGGCCATAGGGGGCCCGTGTGCCGGGGCCACGAAATGTGGCGGGGTGGGGGGGGGGAACTGGGACCGTGAGTGGTCCCCACGTGGTTCTTTGCCGCAGGCGCCCACGCCAGTGGCGTTGCACTCCTGCACCCACCCTGGGACTGCCACATCTGCATAGGTGCTCGCGTTGCCGCACGCCAACCATCGCGGCTCGCGGAGGCTTTGCACAATCGTGCACCAGCTGCGAGGTAAACTCGCATCTACGAGACCTCCAGTGATGAACCAAACTCACACCTGATCTACACCCACACCTGGTCTACACCCACACCTGGTCTACACCCACACCTGGTCTACACCTACACCTGGTTACGAACCATACATGGCCACCACCCACGCCTGGTCACCACCCACACCTGGTCACCACCCACACCTGGTCTCCTGGGCAGCGCGCTCACCTGGGAGAGGGTGTAGAGACAGTTCCCGTGGAAGGTGTAGGTGCGGTGGTCGAAGGTGGTGAAGTGGGAGCCGCCCTCCAGCTTGCACATCCCCGGGCACGGCAGACTCGAGCAGTTCCACTGGCCCCCTTCACATTCGCTGTGTCACGTGGGTGGGGGGGGGGGGGGGCACGGGTTAGAGCAGCACACCCACGGGGCAAGGCAGTCTGGTGTACTACAATGGCCAGCTGTATGTGGCTGGAGTGAAACCTCCCATTCAGCGTCTCCTCTAAATCGACACAGGTTAAATTCTCGTGGTCCGTTGATTGATGCACGTGGCTGGTACTCGCGTAGGAAAGGCCGCAACTGGCGCGGAGGGCACGCTCACGGGGATGTGGCTACCCTTGTGTGCCCACTCAGTCGTTGCCACTGCTGCATCACAACGCAGGTACCGGATGATTCCTGTGCGACGCGCGCTCGCTCCTGCCCTGGCGAGCAGGAGGTGTCGCCACTCGCAGCATCTTTGAATTAACCGGTGGCTTTGGGTGGAGCTGTGGCCGTGGATGTGGTTGTTGGCACCGCTCTGGTTGCGTGAACACGTGCAGCGCAGCACTTGACCGAAGTCGAACTTGAAATTCTTGGTCTGTTACCGGCCTATTGCAGCGTCGCGGATCGTACCAACTACAGAGTGATGAAGGGGCAGAGGGGCCCTATAAGGGGCTCGTACCATTTACTGCAGGGGGTCCTCAGGACCCCGCCGGGTGGGTACTGCCTGCTGTCGAACACGCAGGAGCACTGCTCCACCGGCACGCAGTGCCTGCCCTGCGCCTCGTCCACGTCATCCATCACCGTGCCTAGGAGGGAGGGGGGGGGGGGGTAAATTAATGATTTGGCTCTTTTCCACTGATGGACTGGACTGAAGCTGTCGAGATCGTGTTTAAAGGGCACGCTACCAAATTAAATAAATAAAGACATAAATGAAAACAACAACACCGATGGTGCTGGGGAGACCCTTGCCCCAGCCGAGGGGTTACTGGTGACTCCTCGGGGTTTAGGGTCGGGCTGAGTCAAGCGCCGACGCTGCCAATCTCCGCGCGATTTATGCTGCCATCAATCGCTTGAGAATACAAGGGCAGAGATCAGAGCCTAATTCAGAGATTTGAAGTCAACGGCCTAATTCCTTCCTCACCACCCATCACCACCATGGCCGCCCCCGCTGCCACCCTGCCCGCGCGTTCCCCACCACTGCGATGGTCTCGTCTGTGCTTTTTGCCCAAAATCGGACGAAATGGGAAATTTGTCTAGATGGGAACCTGCGTGATGCTGCCTTGCGGATCATGGAAGCTAAGCAGAGAGACGAGGCTGGATATTGCTTAGATTGGTTACACCCAGGGCTGGAACTGGGCCAGAATGAGCTGGAACACCGCAGTGATGGGAGGGAAAATTTTAATCCGACTACGTTCCGTAAGGAACCAAGGGACAAGTGTTGTAGCGGCTAGCCGTCTGAACAGATATATATGTATGCATGTTGAACTTCTTTCACACTGTACGCAGCTAACCGTGCTAATCGGAGGTGCGTGTACACGTGTACATCATCATGAGAATCGCAAAGTCCACAAGGACCATTGCGTCCTCCGCTCCCACAGTTGGAACAACTTCCAAAGCGAGGACGGCCGTGCCGTGGAGATTTAACTGAGAGGGTGAATCGGGGACCACAGCAGCTCAGAAGCATTTACCCGCACCCGCGTGCGTGCGTTTTGAAGAGGTGGGCTGATACGGTTCAGGAAGATGAGGATTGAGGATTGAGGAGACAAAGGCGGACGGGTGAGGTGCTGGCCTGCCCTTGTGTCATTCCGGCCTTAAAAGTTGCTGTTCGATAACGACACTTGCCGCAACAAGGCGATAAAGGGAATCTTTGTCTTTGTACTTGCATGAGGGTACGGTTATTGCTTGTAGTGCAAGGTGTGTGCAGATGTTTATTGTGTTTGACAAGCTGCACACTCTAGATAGTTTTCATTGCAGCCTCCCCCGCATATCCCCAGCCACGGGGATGATCGTGCATTTCTGAGCTAAAGAGCCCCAATAAACCGGTACATTAATCGAGAGCTGCTGGCACCGTGGCTGCACAAGGGAATGAGGACTCGTCCTGGCACCGACGATGGCCCCAACGGCCCATGAGCAACCCCACCCCCCATCATCCTCCGCCTCGCCACGTGGGCCCCTCTTTGCCCCTCGCTGTCGTAAACGTCGTGAGGTTAACTAAGGTACAACGGCTCGCACCCCCCCCCCCCCCCCCCCCCCCCCGCGCACTCCCCCAACTCCCTATCGGCTCCGAGTGAGCTATGTAAATTTCGCACACTCCATGCAAATTAGTTCACGGTGCTTGCAGATGTGTACAGGTAGGTGTGTACAGGTAGGTGTGTGTAGGTGATTACCGTTAATATGGAGTGGTAGTGCAACGGCTCGCGCACTGTGCTACGAAACCAGCAACCCGAATTCGATTCCCACTCACGGCCAACACCAGTCGCGATTATCTGAATCGGTCCTGGGCCTTCTCAAGGTCGACTCAGCCTCAAAAGAGTACCTGGTGCAATGTGTAAACATCGCTACTGGGGAGACAAAGGCGGCCTTGCGTGGTGCTGGCCACCCACTCCCTCGTGTGCCGTGCCAGCCTTCATTGGTGCTCGCTAACAGCACTTTCCCCAACAGTCTCTTAAGACTACATGGGGGCGGGAGAATCTGCCTTTGTATAGTTAGTTGAGTGTAGGTGTGTGTAGGTGTGTGTAGGTGAGTGTTGGAGAGGACAGGGCGCTTGTAGGTGGTTGCGTGATGCCACGGCCACGGAGCTCCCTCCAGGGGAAGTGCCCCTCACCAGACACACCACGCCAGCTACGTCTGGCCCTCGTGATTGACCCCCCGCGAGCACGCCTCACCTCCCTTAGCTTCTTTGCCAGGCCGCCGAGCGCGTGGTCTCCAAACGTTTCAGAGAGGTGAAAGAATTGGCCAAATTCCGATGTGAGTTGAAAGCCCCGGCCCCTGTGATATGATGTGAGCGAGTTCAACCAGAGACATCTCCAGGAGAGTCTGGACGACAGTCAATGAAACTGAAGACGCACACTGCGCACCGTGGGACACGCTGCGTCGGCAGTAAGTGACTGTGGATGGTGGAGAATAAAGTCTCCGATTCCACAGTTCTACCCATGCGATGAGCAGCGGGGTGTATGGAGTGGGGCGTGAGACGATCTCACGCCAGGGATGTCCTGAACCGTGTTCAGAGGCATTCCAGCCCAGGCCGGCAGGAGGTGAGCAAGCGCAGGGCGGACGATGTGCGAGATCAGGCGCCCGATCACGTAAGAGCGGTTCTCGGTAGGTTCTCGATAGGAATCGGCCAATGGCAAAGAGGCGGGAGGGAAAACGGGCGCCCGGGGATTTTTTGAGTCGGTCTGCGCGAGAGCGTCGGGCGGGAGCGCTCGCTCTGCGTTCTTCTCCTCCCCGGGGGATCCGGCCGCCGCCTTCCGTGCTCGAGATGCGATCCCGGCAGTAATCCCAGAGGGCGAGCCGGATTGGCGAGAGGGGAAACTCACTCGTGTTGGCGGAAGGTGTCGGCCGAACGGTCTCAGCGCTCGTGTAAAACAACAAAACCGCTGAACGTCTGAGAACGAGGCCAGACCACTCACTCCGTAATGCAGGTGAGCGGGGCAAGTGAGCTGGGCAGGTGAGCGGAGAAGGTCAGTGTGGCAGGTGAGTAGGGCAGGTGAGTGGGGCAGGTGATCAGGGCAGATGAACGGGGCAGGTGAGCGTGGCAGGTGAGCGTGGCAGGTGAGCGTGGCAGGTGAGCGGGGCAGGTGAGCGTGGCAGGTGAGTGGGGCAGGTGAGTGCGGGTACCAGGGGGGCAGAAGCAGCCGTCGAGGCAGGCATCCTCGCACAGGGCGCTGGCCGTGGGGTTGGAGCACGTGTCCAGGCAGCTGGTGCCGCACTCCGAGTGCTCCATCGCGTCGGGACACGAGACGGCTGTGTAGGGACACGACGCGGACACGGTGACACGAGTACAGGGGATTAAATGGTACGTTGAGATTCTCGCTCTCGTTCCATATAGGGCTGCGAGACTTCAAATTAGAGTGAGTGATGGCTGAGTGAGTGGGTGAGTGAGTGGTTGAGTGAGTGGGTGAGTGGGTGGGTTAGTGGGTGGGTTAGTGGTTGGGTGAGTGGGTGAGTGAGTGGTTGAGTGGGTGAGTGGGTGGGTTAGTGGTTGAGTGAGTGGGTGAGTGGGTGGGTGAGTGGGTGGGTTAGTGGGTGGGTTAGTGGTTGGGTGAGTGAGTGAGTGAGTGGGTGAGTGAGTGGGTGAGTGGGTGGGTTAGTGGTTGGGTGAGTGGGTGAGTGTGTGAGTGAGTGAGTGGGTGAGATAGTGGTTGGGTGAGTGGGTGGATGGGTGGGTGAGTGAGTGAGTGGGTGAGTGAGTGGGTGAGTGGGTGGGTTAGTGGTTGGGTGAGTGAGTGAGTGGGTGAGTGAGTGAGTGGGTGGATGGGTGAGTGAGTGAGTGGGTGGATGGGTGAGTGAGTGGATGGGTGAGTGAGTGGGTGAGTGAGTGAGTGGGTGAGTGAGTGGGTGAGTGAGTGGCACTCACGGCACAGCTGGGAGTTCCTCCACGCCCCCGGGCGGCCCCCCGCGAGCGCGCACTGCCGCGAGAGCTCCGCCAGGGAGTCGCAGGCGCACTCCGTGGGGGGCAGCCCCCACGTCTCCACGCACGCGCACACGTCCCGCGTGCACGCGACCACGAGCGCGTGCACGTCCACCCCAACGCCCTCGCACCCGGAGAAGGCGGGGAGCTGCGTGAACGCACGGCAGGTGTCCACCTAGAGAGGGACGGGGGGGGGGGGGTGCGGATAAGAACGAGGGCTCGGAGGTCGAGGTACCGCTCCGGGGTGGGGGGGGGGGTGCGCCAGCTGAGCGCGACTCACGTGTCTGGAGCAGTTGAGCGCGGGGGGTCCCGGAGGCGCCGTCTCCTCGGTGCAAACCGCACTGCCGTCCGCGAGCTTCTGCGCCTTCACGAAGTCCGCGACCGTGCGCATGTCTGGGACACGGGGAGCGAGGGGAAGGCGTCAGTCGGGGGACTGGATGGGAGCACGGGGCAGGGGACCATAGGGAATCGCTCATTCTCTGCTTCCCAAATTGTCTGTGACTCCCTTCAGGCCGCCATCAACACCATGCCCCTGTTCAGGCGCAGACTCGGGATCTGCTTTCCATCTGAATCTCACTCTCTGCAACATCGTCTGACACGGTCAGTATTTAGACGCCATGCGTATCCATGTCTTGCAGCACTGAGCGTGGCTGGGCTGGCGTGAGTTCTGCAGGAGCGCTCTCACCGTCCTTGAACTCGGAGTTCACGGGATCCTGGTTGTAGTCCCCGCACAGGCCACACATGCGCCCCTTGAACTTCTTGTCCACGGAAATCTGTGGGCGCAACACGTGGAGTGAGGTCAGAGACAGCACCTGCCATGCTATGGTGGGTAAAATAGCAGGAGCGGTGTACTGAGTTTGAGTGAACTATGCGCGTGGTGGTGAATGTGGATGCTGCGTGGGTGCTGTGCGCGCGAGTGAACGGGGGAGCTGAGCGGGCCGAGCGGCGTTGGGAGGCACCGTGAGGGACTGGTCCACGCTGAGACGAAGCTCCATCACGTTGCGCATGCGCACGGTCGTGTAGGCGCCCACGCGCGTCACCTGCGCGCCGGTGTCGCTGAACGGCAGGCGGACCCTGCTCACCCACACGGGAGGGAGCGGACAGCATTGAGCTCAGCACACAGAGATCACCCACGGGTTAACATTGACCACAGCACGCAGAGATCACCCATGGGTTAACATTGAGCACAGCACACAGAGATCACCCACGGGTTAACATAGAGCACAGCACACAGAGATCACCCACGGGTTAACATAGAGCACAGCACACAGAGATCACCCACGGGTTAACATTGAACACAGCACGCAGAGATCACCCACGGGTTAACATAGAACACAGCACACAGAGATCACCCACGGGTTAACATTGAACACAGCACGCAGATATCACCCACAGGTTAACATAGAGCACAGCACACAGAGATCACCCACGGGTTAACATTGAGCACAGCACGCAGATATCACCCACAGGTTAACATAGAGCTCAGCACACAGAGATCACCCACGGGTTAACATTGACCACAGCACGCAGAGATCACCCATGGGTTAACATTGAGCACAGCACACAGAGATCACCCACGGGTTAACATAGAGCACAGCACACAGAGATCACCCACGGGTTAACATAGAGCACAGCACACAGAGATCACCCACGGGTTAACATTGAACACAGCACGCAGAGATCACCCACGGGTTAACATAGAACACAGCACACAGAGATCACCCACGGGTTAACATTGAGCACAGCACGCAGATATCACCCACAGGTTAACATAGAGCACATCACGCAGAGCCAGTAACACTTACCGCAAATGTGACAGCATAGGTGTAAAAATCACACAGCCGTTGTGCATCGTGTAAAAAACAATCCGCAGTTCCTGAAGAAATGCATTGTAGTTCTCCTGTCTTAGATCACCATCAAAATAATTTGACCAAATGTGACGCCGAGTGAGGGCAGCAGTGAACCAGCATGCCCTGCGTGCTGCCCACCAGGGTAACCCCGCAGCAGTGGAGATGCACGGTCATCATCCCGACAACACGCAAGGCGTCTTACGACAACATGGCGTGTTTAACATCCCCTACGGTTCACGTGATATCTGCACCGTTCTGATGATTGTATAATCTTCTTCCCACGGTTAACAACCTGTGCCCCCCCACTGCCCTTCCCCAACATCCTCCAGAAACCCTCCTCTGCATCCCTCATCCTCTACCCCCCCCCCATCCCCCACCACCCTCCCCACTCCCGTGCAAGAAGCAAGCTCGCTGCGAGTCCTTCCAAATCACTCCACGGCTGCAAGTCCGCATTAAAGAGGACTTTTAACGAACGGTTAAACAGAACCAAATCTTCCAAACCAACTTTGAACCAGTTGAACCCTACCCAGTTACTGGGTGTTTGGTGCACCACGACCACACACGAAAACTGATCGGTTCGGCTACCTGGTCTCAGGCCCTAAGGTGGTAAAGCTGCCCAAGCTCTTAGGGACACACGCCTGAGCCCACATGTTCTCAGTCTGTCGCGTCCAGGCGCACACCTTGTCACGCTCAGCTACGTTCAGTCGAGCTCGGATATGTCGAGGCGCGTTCAGGTTCACGTGAGTTTTTTTTAGGTCCATTCAGGTGCTTTCTTAGGTGTGCGCGGTGAGCCCAGGTGCACTCGGGTACGTTCAAGTGCGTTCACGTGCTCTCACGCGGGTCCGGGTACGCTCAGCTACGCTCGAAGCGTCGAGGCTGGGGTGCGTTCAGGCGAGGCGTGTTCACGCGTGCTCGGGTGCGGCGTCCGCGTACCTCTCCCCGCGCGCGGTCACGTTCCCGTCGCGGGAGATGGAGATCGCGAGGCCGTCGAGCTGCGCGCTCACGGAGCTGATCCGCCCCGCGCTGCGCCGCACCTCCACGCTGAAGCTGGAGGCGCCGTCCCCGCACTCGCGCGCCGCCACGTAGGGGCACGCGCCCGCCGCGCTCAGCAAAAAGCCGTCGAAGGTGCGCACGTGGCCCAGGCCCCACGCGCTGCACGTGCCGTCACGGTGCATGGGCGGCGGCGGCGGCGCCGGCGGCGGCGTCTGGGACTCTGCACATGAGATTCATCATCATCAGCATCATCAGCATCATCAGCAGCAGCAGTGTCATCGTCATCAGTATCATAGGGCATCACATCAGGGGTGAATTCCAGCGCACCCTGGCGTGGCTACCGACGTCGATGCTGGGGAACCGGGCGTGTGTGCACACCACGCCACTACCCCCACGGGGCCTCGGAGTTTCCACTCCTAGTAATTGGGCACGATCTCAAACACCGCAACAGGGAGAGTCAACTGCTTCACCCTGGCCAACTGAGCTATCAAATGTCCCTCCTGAGATCCACCACCGACGTTTCGAACCAGCGCCTTGAATGCTAATCACACGAAGGTACCACAACGGTACACGCCAAGTGAGATCTGCATGCCTCGTGGCAGCATCCACCCACCCACTGCCTTCACAAATGAGGATGCAGTCCGGCATGTGATCGCAGCAACAACAACCGGTCCATCGGCCACACAACAATGAGTACCTTGTAAAACTTCCAAAATCGTGGATCCATTGAAGCAATCTACGGGATACATGAGGCAATTTCCTGGCTAACTAACCTAGACATAGACCGGTTATCCATCCATGCACAAGATAGAATCATAGCCAACACCACCATCATCACCACCATTATAAGCAGTCATCATCATCTCATCACCAGCACCGTCACATCCTCGAGGGAGTGCCCCCACCTGTGCCGTTGTCTGCGCCACCGAAGTTGATGTCGCTCGTCTGGTGGCTCAAGAGGAAGTTGCCCATCACGCCCGTGCCTGCACACACACGACCCTCAGCGTCATCATCATCGCAAGCACGCGGGGCTACCTGAGTGATTGGATGTGGGAGCAGTTGTCAATGTGGGGGTCAGGGTCGGGGTCACGCACCGCTGCAGATGCCGCCCATGACCGCGTGGGCGTCTTGCGCGCTGATCTGGAGTGGGTAGAGGTGCGCGAACGTGGGGAGCGAGGCGAGGGCCTGCAGCTCCTCCTCGTCCACAAGGGGCCTGGGGAGCAGAGGGGAGCAGGGGAAGCATGGTGGGAGAACGTTCATTCATCTCGTAATCGGTGAGGACTATCGAGAAGCTTATGATAAACGTGGCAGAGACGTAAGAGGGACAGAAGAAGGGGAAAACAGAGGCATAGGGGAGACTAGTAACACAGGAAGCGAGAGAGAGACATTAAGAGACAGGAGAGATAGACAAGGGGTAGGGAGGGGAGAGGGCCGCTCACCCGATGCCCACGGTGACGATGAGCACCTGGGCCTGGCTCGCCAGCTCGGAGAATCCGCTCACGCGGTCGTCCGCGGGTCCGGTCGTCATCAGCATCAGCACCTGGAGACACGCGGGCGGTCACGCGGCCCGGCGGTAGCGCATTCGCTGCTTGTTGTTGCAGAGGTTCGTGGTTCGATTCCAGCGGCTACCCTGATTAATACTCCGGTGAGTGTATGAACCGTGACATAACGCGCCGTCTGCTTCAAAGTGGACCTCACAGATCCCATGATGTAATTCGCAGGAGCAGGCCATTGTGTCCTGGCTTCATCGTCCAAACTTTCTCGATGTGAAAATTACCTGCAAATGAATTTGAGAAAACCTGGCAGGACCCATCTGAAAATGAGTCTCAGTGAGGCTTTCCTGGGTGAACGAGGATAATCGTGATTTATATAGCATCAGATCCCGTAAGTAAAATGTGTGTTGTAATACATCAGCCACCTGACACAGCCGACGAGTAAAGTTGTCACGTGATTAAACGTTGCAATGTGTCACTACTTCAGCACGCCGGTGTTGGAGGGCAATCTCACACCATCATCAAACAACTGGTACTAACACAAGCAGCACCATCATTAAACAACTGTGACTAACACAAGCAGCACCATCATTAAACAACTGGTACTAACACAAGCAGCACCATCATTAAACAACTGGTACTAACACAAGCAGCACCATCATTAGACAACTGGTACTAATTATAGATTTGAAGCTTTCGTGACTGCAAGGATCCATACTCTTTGGTTCTATTCGGTAAAGTCACGTAGGTAAAAATTTAACACAAGCAGCACCATCATTAAACAACTGGTACTAACACAAGCAGCACCATCATTAAACAACTGGTACTAACACAAGCAGCACCATCATTAAACAACTGGTACTAACACAAGCAGCACCATCATTAAACAACCGGTACTAACACAAGCAGCACCATCATTAACAACTGGTACTAACACAAGCAGCACCATCATTAAACAACTGGTACTTACACAAGCAGCACCATCATTAAACAACTGGTACTTAAATTTTCGTTCATGAGGCTATCCACATATACAAACACAGAGACAATTTCAACCAAGAAGATGGATTCTGGCTTAGCAATCATTGGAAGGATTTGATAAACCATTTCGGGTCTTAATTGATTGTTCACGCTCAAGGTGGCTTTCAGACCGCATCCATTATTTTTCGTCTCCCCCCTCCTCTTTTCCGAACATAGATGGACTCGTCCATCTGAACAAACTGTCAAATCGCTATCCGTGGTGCTAACGTTAAATAACCGCCACTTTTTTCAAATTTTCTTGTTGTGGTTTTCACACCTGATGATGATTGCTTGTGTTGCAGTCGAAACGTCGTGAGCATTTTATTGTTTTATATTTTTATTATTTTATTGTTTCCCTTCTACGTGACTTTACCGAAAGAACCAAGAATATAACTGGTACTTACACAAGCAGCACCATCATTAAACAACTGGTACTTACACAAGCAGCACCATTATTAAACAACTGGTACTAACACAAGCAGCACCATCATTAAACAGCTGGTACTTACACAAGCAGCACCATCATTAAACAACTGGTACTAACACAAGCAGCACCATCATTAAACAACGGGTACTTACACAAGCAGCACCATCATTAAACAACTGGTACTAACACAAGCAGCACCATCATTAAACAACTGGTACTTACACAAGCAGCACCATCATTAAACAACTGGTACTTATACAAGCAGCACCATCATTAAACAACTGGTACTTATACAAGCAGCACCATCATTAAACAACTGGTACTTATACAAGCAGCACCATCAGAAACTGACACAATCGCGAAGACGTCCTCCGGTCTTGGGCCTTAAACACGGAGGGTGATGTCACCAATGTGCCAGGAAGTGAATACCTAGAGTTGAATATGCTGTATTCCCTTAAATTATGCTGTTAGATTATAATAAGTTACGTTAGATACGTTTTTATAACGGAATGTATAGATATATTTAGTGAATCAGATTAGTCAATGTTAATTAATGAGGCTACACTAACTTAGTAGTAATGTTATAATGCTGTGTTAGTTTATATTAATGTGAATGCGTTTCCAAGCCCCGCTCAGCCCGGAGATGTCAACTCTGTTGAGATAATTTTAATTTATCTCAATTCTAGAGGATTCGCTCACAATCTGGCAACTGCCTGATGACGCTGTCGGTAGCGACCAGCGAAACGACTGCACCCCATTGTCAAGTGTGTGTGGATCGCTCTCCAGCACAGCGGAGTGCTGAAGCGATACATTGGCACTTGTGCTAATCACGTGACAACTTGTTCATTGGCTGTGTCGGGTGGAGGAGGGTGAACGACACATTTTACTGGCCCTTGCGACTTGGGATCGCCGAGTCACAAGTCGTTGGACTCGGTGAGTATTCTCTATATGTGTTTACTTAATAGGGTTCGCCTGTTGGCATCTCTTACATACTTTGTATACATACGTACACATACATAAACTATTCCAATGAAATTTCAATTTGTGCTGAACTGCAGTTGAACTTCCTTGCCGAGATTTCTACCCGACATCACCGAGACACCGCGACCTGTCGCTTTAAACTCCGCACACGGTGCACTCCATTGTTCAGCAACGTTTGGTGACCGCTCTGTGATTGCAATCTCGCTGCTACACTTGGGAACCCGGTTTCGCCACGGGTGTCTGAGAGCCGCATTCGAACCCAGGACCTCAGTGCTCCGACGAGGCAGCATCGTTCCAACCACCATTCCCTCGCCCCCCCTCCCTCTCCCGCTCTCCCCTGCGCCCCCTTGCGCTCCCCTGCGCCCCCCCCCCCCTTCCTCCCCCGCGCTCCCCGCACTCACCTTGGTGCGATGGACCCCGTCGTCCGGCCCGGGAGGAAACCCGGCCTGCAGGATGAAGTCGAGGGCGCCGCCCGTGTTGCGGCCGCCCCGCGCCACCTCCACGAGGCCCAGCACGTAGCCCGCGCTGGCGGCGGAGGCGGCGTCCCCCAGCCGCAGCAGGGGCTGCGCGTCGCGGTCGAAGCGCCACAGCCCCACGCGGGACAGGTTCCCCGCGGGGGCGAGCCACTCGAGCGCGGCTCCCGCGAATGTCTTCATGGCCTCCAGGGTCACGGTGCCCGTCTCGCGGTTCGCCTCCAGCACCAGGTTCAGGTCGAGAGCGGCGCGCGTGCACGCTGGGGGGGGGGGGGGTCGCGGAGACGGTGATGAACACGTGGCATGGAGGGACCGCACAAGGCGCGGTGTTCACGCGCGCGTGTACGCTGTGGGGTAGGGGGCGAGGAGGTGAGATGGTTCACGCGTGCCTGACCCCCCCCCCCCCCCCCCATAATCATTAAACTTTACTCAGTAGAGGAGGTCGTTCGTTCTCATTCTGCTGCTGTGCCCCGGTCATCCGTGCTGGTTCTGTTCAACTGGAGGCTCCAAGACCTCATTGTCTCCTCTGTGTGTGACTGCCTCTGTGATGTTACATATATATTTATATAAATTAAACATTGACATATATTAAATTAATTAAATATCTGTTTTTTTATTGCGCATATGGTGCTCTGTATGTAAGTCACGTGTAAAATAATTCGCCAAATAAATAAATACGTGATGTAAAATCTTGTCTGACACCTGGCACGCTGGAAGGCGTTCAGCGCCGCATTCCGCACGCGCGATCCTCTCCGTTTACCCAACAATCTCCGCTTATTCTCAAGAGGCTGCTTTTTTTGAAGGATGTTGCGTTGTGGGGATTTTTTGACCTCAGTTCCTTTTTAAACTCGGAGTTTTTTTGTTTTGTTTGACTTCGTGTTGGAGAAGACACGAGTACCCGGAGATAACGCAACCAGCGCATACGAGGGAGCGACATTTGTGACGGATTCACGATTCCACTTGATGAACTGGACTTGTCTATGCGCCTCCACCACGTGTTTATTGAGAAACACGAGTTTAGAGTATTTGCCTGCAATACATTTACACACGATAAGCCACTTCGTTGAGCTATAATTTGTGGCCAGGTCGCTTCTGAAAAAAAGCTTTAAAACTCAGTGGACCTTACCTGGTAAAGAATAAATAAAGTGTAGCGCGTAGTGTGTCGATTCATTCGTGTCCGCGTGTACGTTCGTGCATTTGTGTGTGCCCACGTGTGTGTTCACGTGTTCGTGCTTTCACGTGTGTTCGCGTGTCCACGTGTGGTCACGTGTGTGTGTGTGCGGCATGTGTCTGTGTGCAGGGTTGCATCTCACGTGTGTGTGTGTGGGCCATGTGTCTGTGTGCAGGCTTGCATCTCACGTGTGTACCCAGGGAAGCCTCACTCAGTCGCTTTCTAATGAGGGTCCTCGCCAGTGTTTGCAGTAGAGGCGCTATGATTACTGTGTTGATACCAATTTTCGTAATTTGCAGATATTTCAAAAAAGCGAATTTGCCAACTTTGGACCAGGACGCCGGCACGTAATGGCATACTTTTGCGAATTGCATCACTGCATCTTTAAATTGTTTCATGGTTAATACACCCCTAGTATTAATCAGGACGGCCGCTGGAATCGAACCGCGAAAAATATGTAATCGTGCTACCGCGAAACGAGGGCAATCGGTAGATTCATGGCTGAAATTCCACGAAAAACGATTGCGGGTTTCTGATTTTCGGGATCGGTAATACATTCTCAAAATGGTTATCGGTGTAACGGTGTTTGTTTGATAACCCGAGGTATGTTTGTACTGCGTGTTTGTGTCTGTGCTGTGTGTGCGTGTGTAGGGAGCGGTAGTGTAGTGGTTAGTAACCCGAGTTCGATGACCGCTCACGACCAATAATGGCGAATATTTGAACCGGTCCTGGGCCTCCCTTGGGTCGACACATCCTTCAATGAGTACCTGGTGCGGTGAGTAAACATCGCCACTGGGGAGACAAAGGCAGCCGGACGTGGTGCTGGCCACCCACCACCTTGTCGCGTGCCGTGGCGGCCTTCATCGGTGCTCGCGAACAGGACTTACCCCAACGGTATGTCAGAAGCTATACGGGGGATCTGTGTGTGCCCACGTGCCCCACGCGTGTATCCGAACGCGCACGTGCACGTCAGTGCACCAATTTAAAATCCCCACGCACTCGCGAGTGCTGTGCGTGTGTGTGTAGCGAGAGCGGTTCTTCGAGGCGATGTGACCTCGCCTATTGGGGACCCATGAGGACCCTCGCTCTACTCCTCACCTGGATTCCCAAAGCCACGCACCGCCGGGAGCAGCATCAGCAGCAGCCACATCGCTCTGAGGAGACGAGACCCCGTGCGGCCGCGGTTCCAGGTCGCCATGAGCGCTTGCTCAATATTTAGTCGGAGGGGACCTTGGTAGTGGGGTTTATAATCCCCTCTCGCAAAGGCCCTAAAAGGTGGGAGCGGCGCGGGGCAGGGTGCGGGGCAGGATGCGGGGGTGACGATGTGGGTGTTGCCGTGGTGATGGAGGTGTGGGTGCGGAGTGGTGATGAGGGGTGGTGGTCTGTGTGGTGGTGATGATGTCGGCTTTGTGATATTCGTATCAAGGTGATGATGGATGGAGGTATCAAGGTGACGATGGCGGTGTCCATGTGGTGATGGGGGGTGGTTGGGGATTGATAGGAGTGCTGGTCATGGTGTTGGGGTAATTTTGGAGATTTCAGAGACTCGGGGATCGTGGAGGTCACCGTGTGCCTATGATGCAACAGCTGCGACATGGGGCAGAGCGTTGGCGCCATGTGGCGGCATCGGTGGCTTTGGCCACGATCACGTCTCGATTTTGAGAGTGGTGATACGCGTGTCGAGGATGTGATTTGGGGTAGTGATGGAGGTGCTAGACCAGAAGTCGGCCACCAAAATAACAAGAATAACCATTTTTTATTCGAATTTGGTAAAAAAAAAACCTCAATATTTAAAGATCCGTCATTCATGTGAATAAGGTCACTAAGAAGTATTTAAAGAGACGCAGGTTTCCGACCCCTGTGCTAGACCTTGGTGGAGGTGTCAGGGCGGTGATGGAGGTGTCGGGATGATGATAGAGCTATCAGGTTGGTAATGGGTGTGTCGAGGTTGTGATTGGGGTGTGGTTGTGGTGGCGGTGTTGGGTTGTGTTTGCGGTGGGTATTGAGAGTTGTGTAACGTCCCACAATTACAGTTCAAAATATATGTCTCGATTTAAAGCTTTCGTGACTGCAATGATTAATCTTCTTTGGTTCTTTCGGTAAAGTCACGTAGAATGATAATAAAATAATAAATTGATAAAATAAAATAACACAATAATATTCTCACGACGTTTCGGCCACAACACAAGCGGCCTTCATCAGGTGAAGGGGGCGAGACTGTCCACTCCAGCGCTGTCCTACCAGACAGTCTCGCCCCCTTCACCTGATGAAGGCCGCTTGTGTTGTGGCCGAAACGTCGTGAGAATATTATTGTGTTATTTTATTTTATCAATTTATTATTTTATTATCATTCTACGTGACTTTACCGAAAGAACCAAAGAAGATGAAAATATATGTCATTTGTCAATTACGGAATTTTGGACAAGCACCGAATCTCACCCAATGCACCTGATCTCTCGTCAGATGTAAGAAGCCCATCAGCGTTGAGCCTGATTGGTGCTGGGATCGAAGACGGCTTTGGAATACCAGGTTGTAGGCTCGTGCTGAGAAATGGCAGCACAACATTGGATTTTTTTGCATCAATCTGTGCAAAGCTTTAAGTTTGCCCACTGATATTCGTCCTGGGTTTTCTCCAGGTTATCTGGTTTCCTCCCACACAAAGCCGCTCATGAAGAGAATTGTCAAGGGCATACCCACGAAGCACCCCCGATTAGCACCGACGGCTATGTACGGTGCGGAAGAAGTTCAGCATACATACAAAACAGGGCCCTGTTGGAAATTTCTCTTGAGAATTAGTGGGGCCCTCCTGAGCCGAGCCATGGCAGAGCTGCTCGCTCCCGCATCTCTGTAGGCAGCTGAGCGGCTCAAGTGCGAGCTGCGTTACAGGTCGAGTCAGAGCCGAGCCGTGACCACGAGCACGGCCATAAAGGGAGAGTAAATTAGCTCTTATCGAGTGTGTGGTCATAAGATGTCTACCAAATGCAGGGCTATAACCGGTTGTAAATGCCAGTGGATCGAGCACTCTGAAAAGGGGAAGTGCGAGAGACATGACAGTCGTGGATTGAACAGTGCGGAGCCTTTTGAGTCGATATGATCGTTAAGCAACATCGGGCAGCAGAAGGAAGTAAATGAGCAGAATTAAAGGTGACCCCAGACGAAGGGGGGGGGGATATCAGCGACGCCGATGGGATCGGTTACAAGGCAGCGGGGGACACGCGCGGTGTGACTGCCGAGATGCAGGAGGTAGCATCGCAGACAATCATCGTCCCGCCAGGCAAGGAAGGCGACACCGAAACGAGTCTCACGACTCTACGCGGATACGTCTGGTGAGCAGTCCAGGGAAGGCATTTGCCAGAATCTTGCCAAATATAACTAAGAATCATAAATGCACACTTACGGGGAACTCGATGTGCATTTCTATCATGGAGGGGTTGTATCGATGGGTAAGGTAAGTTGGGACTATATTTGAATATAGTCCCAACTTACCAGGGTTGAGACCAAGAGGAAGTTCCAAGACTTGACGGTGGGAGACTGTCAGGGCAGCTCGTGGAGGTCATGCGTCTCCTGTGCAGCATCTGCGGGCTCGAGCGCGGGGCAGTCAGCGGCATTGGGAGTGAGATGCGGGGGAGTGAACGCCTCAAACGATTGTCTCGATCTTGATGCTTGTCTTGATCTTGATCATGATTGTCTTGATCTTGCTGATGGTTGTATTGATCTTGATCATGATTGTCTTGATCTCGATCATGGTTGTTTTGATGTTGGTACTAAAGGCGGCTGGATGTGTCGCTTGCCACGTGACCCCTTGAGAGGTGGTCCCGTATAAGTCTACATTAGGAAACTTTATCTCTTGTGTGTGCGTCATGTTTTTATAAACTATACCTCTGTTTCAATAAACACGTGTCTAATCTGCGCACACACACACACACGAATGCTTTACTCGCGAATGTAAACTCCCTGACCGATAAACCGATCCGCCCCGACCACGGGGAATGTGTCTGCTGGGGAGGAAGCGAGAGGGGGGGCAGGATGACTTCTCAAAACTTAACCCCACGGGCGTGGCCACTCAGGAGTCCCCCACCTCTGTGCGCTGCAGCCCTTTGGCCCACAGGCGTTAGCTGCAGCTGAGCACTTGTTGGCTGGCGTTGATGCTGTGAGCACATGTTTGTGAACCCATTCTCAATCGATCTCATTTGCATTGGGAGGGGGTCGCTGCGTTCTCAGCTGTTGAGCAATGGTCTAGAACAGCCGTTCTCAAACTTGTCGAGTGCGCACATCCCTTTTCAACCTCCAAACGTTTCGCGGACCACCAAACGCAACAAGTTGTTTGAGATTGTCCATTTCCTTGGTGAGGATGTTTTTATTTATCCGCGGAGCCCCCCCCCCCCCACCCCTTGTCGTAGCCTCGCGGACTAACAGGGCGGACTAACAGGGCGGAGTAACAGGGCGCACTAACAGGGCGGAGTAACAGGGCGGAGTAACAGGGTGCACTAACAGGGCGGAGTAACAGGGCGGAGTAACAGGGCGCACTAACAGGGCGGAGTAACAGGGCGGAGTAACAGGGTGCACTAACAGGGCGGAGTAACAGGGCGGAGTAACAGGGTGCACTAACAGGGCGGAGTAACAGGGCGGACTAACAGGGCGGAGTAACAGGGCGGAGTAACAGGGTGCACTAACAGGGCGGAGTAACAGGGCGCACTAACAGGGCGGAGTAACAGGGCGGAGTAACAGGGTGCACTAACAGGGCGGAGTAACAGGGTGCACTAACAGGGCGGAGTAACAGGGCGGACCAACAGGGCGGAGGGCGACGCAGCCCACAGGTTGAGGCCCGCTGCTCTAGACAAAATAACAAGATTTTTTTCGAATTCGGTACAAAACAACAGGATGTTTCACGAGCCGCAGCGCACGTGGGTACGAGAAGGTCCTTGATAAATGACGTCACGAAGCAGTCCTTGAAGAGCCGCAGGTTGCCGATCGCTGGTCTCGGATCGCTACTTCGCATTGGTTCTCGAGTCTACATTCACCTCTCGTCAAGTCCATCACTCTGTGTAAATTATGATGAAGGTCATCGATCATCAACACCAACATCATCAACAACAACAACATCAACGACAACAGGGAAACGTGTGCGGCCCGGACAATGAGATGTAACAGGGCACAGCTCCCAGCATGCCTTGCATGCATTGCATGTACAATGATCTCAGCCTTGTCTAGACCACCAACTCAGAAGAGAGCTGAAAGTATGTGTGGCCGTCCGTCCATTCAGGTAGCGATGAAACAGGCGATACTTTTAATAATTTTGAGTTGGTGGTCTAGATAAGGCTAAGAGCATTGTACGTGCAACGTGGTGGTCATATAACATGCACTCTCCTTTGCAGAGTTTATCGTCATTAACAGAGGAGAGTGTTACAGCCGGTTTACTGTCCCTTGCATTAAACCGATGTCCACGGTTTCGAACTGAGTCGTCACTTTCAAAAGCACTGAACTCCTCCGCTATGATGTTGAAGACAGAGTTTGTGGTGGCCTCCAGTCAAGCGAGTGAATCAGTCAACCACGCCATTACGAAACAACTCAACAACCATAAACACGCAACTGTGTATCATTCTACTCACCCCCACCCCCCCGCAATCACCGCATCTCGCTTCCCCTTCCCCCACGTGAATCAATCTCTCCCACGCCCGCCCCTGGGAATTTACAGCGTTTACAGCCATCGTAAAAGCTATAATTACAGCAATCATCAATTCCACAGTCATTGCGGCGCAGGAACGAGCCGTTAGTGTCGTTGTATCTCGCACCGCACATGGTCAAAGGTGGAGCAGAGGTGAAAAATCAAAGATCGAGTGGTCACACCTCGATTCCTTCCGTTCCTTGTCGCGACTTCAGTTCTTGTCGCCTCTAAATGTGGCGGCCTCTAGTGGCGGCAGGGGTCACACAAATCCATTGCATCTGAGTACGAATACAGCACAAATCAGCGCCTTCTTCCACGTGTGATTCCACGCGCGTTGCGTGAGCGTAAAGAACCCACGGGGACCCAGTGGCTCTCCCGCGGCACCCCTCGCCGAACGCTTCTCGCGTCTGCGACGCAACGAGGTGCGCGGGAAGCGACGCGCGCGCGCCGGGCCCCGCGCGACAACGAATGATGCTGCTTGTTGT